TCAATCATACGGTCAGCTTCATCCACAATCTGAATTCACAAGGATAAAAACCACCACTTGTTAAATACTGGGAGCTTTTATTTTCCTTTGTATCTGTAACCAGTGAGCCAGAACATATGATAATGGAAGCTTCTAGTCAATAGAATTGCATTCCTTGCCCATCCTTACTCCAAGTTTGCAAGAGCCTAAGAGAGAAGGGGAAGTGGGCGGATGCTTGGGTGTCACGAGTTGGAACCAAACATCTCATCTTGTGACTGCTCCCTGCACAATCTGGAGTGCAGACAGGCCCACACAACAGTTCCAGCAGAGAGGTATTTATGTTCCACACAAGAAGCAAGCAGGAATTGCTGCTGTAGCAGGCACTGCACTCAGATGGGAGAGCTGTGGAGGTGACTCACCAGGAAGCGAAGCTGTGTCAGGCTGAAGCCCGGGGTCTGGTTAATGTGATCTGTGAGCCTCCCTGGTGTTGCCACGACAATGTCAGCCAGGCTGCAATAGCCTGTCACTCTGAAAGGACAAGCAGCCCATCAGTAAGTCTCTCTTCACAATAAAGCCTGTAGCAGAGACCTTAAGAAGGAGACCTTAAGGTTTTCCTACCACTCAACTAACTGAGGAATAACAAAATTCACATATGGACTTGACACTGGGGAGCATGCAGGGGCAGTGGTGGACACTGAACACCAGTCTCCACTGTGCTGTCTTATTTTAAACAGAAAGTGTCATTCCTCATTGCTCTTCAAAAAAGTTTAATTGCAGCAAACTCCCACACAGTCATATGTACCCGTGGGCACAAGGTAAACGTTTGTATTCTGAGCATTTGCTGGTGAAGAGCCCCAAAAATCTAGGAAAACATTATAATGACAAAATGAGGGTAGTAACAAGCACTGTGACAAAGACAGAACCACCAGAGTCCAACATATAAAACCATTACCCAAAATCATGATAGCATGGTGCTGTGCTGCAATAGTCTGTATCTTGACCCCACCTTAATGAGATTAATTAGCTTGCAATCTCTATAAACCTTGTCAAAATACCTTTTAACCTACTTTTTCTGGACAAGCATCTCCTGCTCCTTTGCAAAAGATTTCTGGCCAGTAATCAAAACGACCTTCAGACCTGTCCCATCAGTGTACACGTTGAACACTTTACTCACCTGCAAAGAGATGGGTTTTGTCAGCTGCCACAGAATCAGCTGCAGTAAATACTTTCCATTGCATGAACAGCATCAAACCCACTGGCAGGTCTTCAGTCTGCTTCACAGAACAGCCAAAGGATTGGCTGCACCAGCCTGTCCCTCAGCCCAGCTCTGCTCAGAGCCAGTGAGGAGCCACATACCTGCTGGGCCAGTTCTTTGGTGGGCAGAACAACCAGAGCTCGTACGTGGCAAACCACTCGATCTAACAGAACCTGCCAAAATAAAGGCCAAGTGAGTCCCTGAAAGAACAGGGGAGAGCAGAGTTCTTGAGCCTAATCTAGCAAGAGAAGATGGGCTTGACACATTCTCACAGTTTTATGTTTCCATTTTTCTCCCTCCACTCTTCCAACTCCTCACGCTGTGCCTGCTGTCTGAGAAAAGGAGTGGGATGCTGACAGAAGCTCCCTCAGACAGCTCTGAGCTGAAAATCTGACGCCTTATATCCACAAATGCCTTGGCTTTTTGACCTACTTTTGAGTTCAGGTTTTGCTTGAACAAAAGCAACGCCAGCATTTCCCCTAGAGACACTTCCCTGAGGATAAACTCACCTGTACAATGGGTATGACAAAAGACAGGGTCTTCCCACTGCCTGTGGGTGCTGAGACACAGATGTCCTTGGGGCGGTATCCTCCCCTCCCCATCAGGTACCCATTGGAGGCACTCTGGAGAATGGCAGGAATCACCTCTGCCTGGACTGAGCAAAACCAGAAATAAACACAAACTGTATGCTTAATGAACTCACCAATAACTAAAAATGTTATAGAAAAGCATTTTTGAAGTTAGAATATGTGTGCTGGCTTCCCAACATAGCCCTGACAAGCCTCTGACACAGCCTAAGTCTCCAGGCTCAGTGGGACTAAGGTCACCCTCTATCCTTATCCTTGCATCCAGCTGTCCTTTAATCGATTTAAGAACCAACATTTATTGCACTTATTTGCAAAACTGGCAAAATACCAGAAAACAAAAAGATTTCTTCTTTTTCTCTGGGTATTTTTCTGGTGCTTTAATGAGCTGAATGAGTTCCCAGAAAGCTCTGATCAGCAGCAGAGCTGGTGGAAAATCAGGAGCTAAAACACAAGCTTCCACAAGGAGGAAGACTGTGAGGACCTAAGTAAGACTTCCCTCTTTGGGCAGCTCTGAGCCATTACTCCAAGCTGTCTTTATGAGTAGGTAACAGACTTTTACTCAGCCTAAACAAAACTTTGAGAAAGGAAGGTTAAATCTGCTGCAATCACTTTCATGCATTACATTTCATCCTGTATTTTACTTCACTGCCCACATAAAATATCCAGCACCAGACTGCAGGAACTCTGTAAACCCCTCTAGAAAGAAACAAAAGCACTATCAAGGCACCTGGAAAAAAGGACTCTATTCCATTAATCTGCAGCTTTTTCAGCAGCCGGGGGTGGATTCCTGGGACGTCTCTGACTGGACACAGATTATCTTTGATGCGTTTCTGCACCCGTTTGGGTTGAGCAAGCCACTGTGGTAAGAAGGGCTGGACCTGAGGCGAGGGAAAGGAGAGTATGGCAACACCATATGAAAAATAAAGAATGTAAGAATGTAAGTAAGGTTTTCCTAACCATCATCAAAATTCAGTCAAGCTGGTTACCTTCTGCACTGGCTTTTCCTCATAGTCTCCCAGAATCATCATACTGGAGGGTGGACAATTTGCCTCTTCCCCTGAGGCTACTAAGGGCAGCTCCTCCTTTGTAGTTTGATTTCCTTCAGCTTTTTCACTGCTCTCTTTCTTCCCTATTTCATCTCCTTGTGCTTCCTCATCTGTCTTCTTCCTTTTATTAGACTTGTTTTTAAAGTTGTTTTTGTTTTCCTGTTGTTTGACGTGTTCTTCAGAATCTGGAATTTGGATAACAGGAATACAATGCTACAGATCAGAGCATACCACAGAAAAGGGATGTGGCAATATTACAACACAGGACTTAAGCAACAACTTCCAAGCTCCTTTTTCCTAAGTCCAAGTGCAGAAGTCAAACATTGCTTTGTTGGTATAGATGCAACAAGACTGAGGTGATGTGCATGCTTCCCTCCTCCCCTTACACTAAACTGATCCTCAAAGTTTGCAATACAGGGCCTTTCCTTAAAACAAAAAGAAATTTGGAACGTATTAAGGAGATGAAAAGAAAATCAAGTAAACTGGGAAAGGTACTCAAAGGGAAACTCGTGTCCACTTTTCTGTGGAAAGAGTCAGCCACAGTGAACTGAAATCCTACAGCCTCACTTTATCCTTACCTGCTTCAGTCCTCTCTCGCTGCACTTTCGATTTTCTTCTATTTGCTTTCTTCTTCTTTGTGGGGCTGCTGCCATCTGCTGCCTCCTCAGTACCAGCCCTTTCCTCCGAAGAGCTGCGGGGCTGTTGTTTTGTCTTTAGCTTCTTCTGTCTAAGAGCACTGGGTTGCTCCTCACTGTCCCTCTTCCTCTTTCCCTTCCCTTCGCCGGGCTCACCCCCGGGGCTCAGCCCCTCGCCCCCTGGGCCTTCCCTTCCCTGGGGCTGCGCCTCTCGCTGCTTCTTCAGCTGCCGGGCCCTCGCCTGCTGCTGCAGCCGCTCCAGCAGCACCCGCGCCCGGTCCTCCTCCTCCTCCTCCTCCCGCTCGTGCTCCCCGCCGTACCTGGAACAGCCCACACGAACCTCCTCAGGCACCACCGCCCGCACAGACCTCCGGGCACACACCCCGGCCCAGCCCGGGGCTGAGGCAGCCGGAACAGGGGCAGGGGAAGGGTGCAGGAGGGGAACAGGAGGGAAGCAGGAGCGGGGAGCAGGAGCAGGGAGCGGGGAGCGGGGCCGTGCCCGCGGTACCTGCGGATACAGAACAGCGCCATGGCCACGCCGCGCCGCGCGGGGATGACGTCATCATGCCTCGCCGGGGAAACCTCCGGAAGGCGCGGGGCGGGTGCGCCCCCTGCCGGCCGGGGTGGGGCAACCCCCTGAGGGGAGAGGCGGGAACCCAGCCCGGGAGCCTCAGGGCGGGACAGCGGAGCGTCGGTGAGGGACGAGCACAGCGCCAGTGAGGGACAGAGCACAGCGCCAGTGAGGGACAGAGCACAGCGCCAGTGAGCAACAGGCTGGCACAGCACAGCTCCAGTGAGGGACAGGCTGGCACAGCACAGCTCCAGCGAGGGACAGCGCACAACTCCAGCGAGGGACAGCACAACTCCAGCGAGGGACAGAGCACAGCGCCCGTGAGGGACAGGCTGGCACAGCACAGCTCCAGTGCGCGACAGGGCACAGCGCCCGTGAGGGACAGGCTGGCACAGCACAGCTCCAGTGTGCGACAGGGCACAGCTCCAGTGAGGGACAGGCTGGCAGAGCACGCTGAAGCTCCCCACAGTGCTGCAGGCCCTACAGAGCTTCCACGGCACTGAGGGCCATCCCCGCTGCCTGGAGCGGGCAGTGTCAGCAATGTGGATAACAGCATTTCCCCTCAGCGAGGAAAAGCTCTCCTTCCTTGCTCATTTGGTCACACACAGGTGGCACATCCTCAGAGGAAAGCTGCCCGGAAGCAGCAAGCACAGGGCTGTTCCAAGGACTGCAGCAATAGGAGACACAGTCCAAAAACAAACCTGGATCAGCAACCCTGGTCAGCAGCCCTGAACCTATAGCAGGGTAAAAATCACTGGAGTGCTGTCACAAGCCAGCCCCAGGGACTACCACCATAGTGTGGAATAATGTGTCTAAGAAACACAGGCAAACCCAAAACATTCCTTTTGTTTGCTTCAGGATCAGAGCAAAACATGTTAGCAATTGTGCAACTGCATCCCCAACCAGCCAAAGCCTACACCACACAGCTTACTTCTAAATCTTTATTTGTTTTCTACACAGAGAAAACAGAGGAATGTTGAAGCAGCAATATTTAAACACACTAGCAAGGAGCCATCAATCTGTGAGAGTGCTCAGAGTGCAACACGGGGCCATTTGTGCCGTGGTCTCTGCTACAGGGCAGGGTGAGGGGAGGTCCAGGAACAGCCTCTTCAGACAGACAGCAGAGCTCTACGCAAAGGTGGAGCCGTTCCAGCCCACGTTGGCAGCATTCATGTCGAAGTAGTTGATGTAGACCCTGCAGAAGGAGGAAATAATGACCTTATTAACTCATTTATGTAAGTCATGACAACACAACAGGGGAGAGTGCTTCCCATTCTTCTGCCTGAAAAAAGAGCAAGCTTCATTTTTACCAAAAATCTGGTGGAGCCTTCAAACAGCCGGTATTTCTCAGTCCTTAAAATTGTACTTTTTCTGTTTTAAAACTCAAATTCTTCTGCAGTCAGGGACTGTCCAGACACCGGAGAGCTTTTGTTTAGCAGCCTGTCAAGGATTTCCAGAGATCAGCCCTTTTTGTTTCTGAGCAATGCTCAGTTCCTCACACATGTCACACAGCCTGGCAGCCTTGCAGAGCTAAGCAGGCCCTCAAAGCCAGGCTCTGCAGGTCTCCCTTCAACCCTCACAGCACCAGGTTCTTCCCATCCTTCACAGCTGCACACAGACACTCTCCCAAACTCTGCAGCCTGCAAGGGAGCTGCTCACAGCCTGCTGGCTTCTGTTTTTGTCTCTCATCTCCAGCCTGTTACTACTCCTTGCTTGTGTTTTCAGCCTTGTTTCCCCAGAGGATAAGACATCACACCTCAAAGGAAAAGACACACTGGACAACTTGTCAGTGCTCTGGTGTTTCTCCCTACTCTCAGAGCAGAAAGCCATTGAACAGAGGACACTCCAGGGAAAGAGGCACCAAATTCTTCTGTGGACGTGAAAGTGCTGCAAGCAATCACTTGGTATTTTCCAAAACACGTGGACTTATTCTTGGCTTTTTAAATTTTTAAATAGTCTTTTCAAAGCAGTTTCAGAAAGCCAGATAAATATGGTTAAACTGTGTCCCAGCCTTACCTGTCTGCAGATACGTGCAAGTGCTTTGAGATCAGATCACACAGCATCTTGGTGTAAGTCTTGTTCTGCTGCCCTCCTATTTTGCCGATGCTGTAGAGGCTGCAGAGCGCGCAGGGATCAGTGGAGCCCCCAAAGGACATCATCTGGTCAGGTATGATGTGCACAGCTATGTACTGCGGGAGGGAAACACTCCATTACAGGCTGTCTGAACTGCCCTCTCCAGACGAAAATTTGCTTTAGGTACCAACTCTAAGCAGGGCAGTTGTATTTGGGTCAGGCAGCTCTTCAGTGCTGGCCTTTGCGCACTTTCCAGGCCCAGGGGAGGCTCAGGACCGGCAGCTCCCGGGGTGGGGGGCACGGCCCTGGGGGCTGCGGGGGCACTCGGCCCGGCTCTCAGCTTTAGGAACNGTGGGGCGGGGTCACACCACACAGCGGCTCCTGGGCGGCAGCGGACGCCTCCGGGGACAGGCTCCTTCCGGCAGGGCTCTGCCCGCTCCGCCGTTATTCCTTGGCTTTGTTACTGCTGCTGAACATATTTTGAGGGTTTGTTGCAGGCTCCTTCCTGGAACGGAGTCCGGGCGCGCTGGGTTAGCTCATACGTGACCTGGTACCAGCACATGTGATACTACCGCTGTAGCGCTGCCACTGGTTTCTGCGGGATCAGGCCCAGAGAGGGATGTGGGCCTCTGCTTGGCAATTGCGAAAAGGGATACTTTCTTGCCCTGGCTCCGAGAATTTTTTTCTTTTGCACAATTAACAGTTGTAGAGGTTTTGCTTTAACTGTGTACAGCTTTAGCTCGGTGTAGTTAGAAACGTATTCTCTAATTTATTTCAATCAAATTAAAAATTACCTATTGTTCCTCAGCCTCCCCGTCTTCAGATCATATTTTTCTACTGGAAAAGGGCAGAAGTGAATTTTGTTTTGCTTAGGAATGAAGTGGCGCGTGTCTATTGGGAGGCCAGAGGCAGCAGAGGCGAGCGCTGCGCTGGGCTGTGTGATGTGATGCACGTAGGCTGCCAGGGCACGGCTTCCCTCCCCTGACTCCTGCCTGTCCCGACGGCGGCAGCGCTGCTCTGCTGCACAAAATGACTCACAGGGAGGCTAAAGAGGATCAGGCCCGGAGCCCTCTCCACCCAGACATTTCACACACAGCAGTCATGCGCTGCTGCTGCTGCTGGAAAACCTGCCCATACGTACATGTTACATATGTGAACACTCATGGCTCTGAATGAGGAGTAAGGGAAGGGAATACATTGGAGTGACACAGGTTATAATGCTGAGAGCTGGAGCACTTCTTACTCTAGTGATTAACAGTGCTTAAGAAAGTGACTAAGAACCGATTAAGTTTCCTCCCTCTGATATCCTCAGTTCCCTGCCATTGCATAGTCACATTTATTCCTCTCACCTTCCTGCCTCACAGATTTATTGCATGGAGGTGGGGTGGGGATTCTACCTGTGCAGGGAGAAAAGCTTGAGAGCAATGTCACCACTGGTGTGCTTGTCCTGTGGCCTGCCAGGCCCAGAGTGGCAGCCCCTGGCTCTGCTGCCACACAATCTGCAATTTCATTCTCTTTTGCCTCCCTAAGAAAAGCTTTCACCAATGCAACTTCCATCTGTTATCCCAACAAAGCATTTTTGTTGTTTGAGGTGTAAGTCTGTATTTAAAAAGTCTGTGGCTGCAAAGAAAAGCTGTGGTAGGGACACAAAGAGATGTTAACAATAGAGTTCAGAACAGGGGTGTGATAAAGTTTGCTCTTCCAGAAAAAAAATCATAATACACTTAACTATAGAATTTCAGGATACTGAAATACTCAGTCTTTTATTTTACTTTGGAAGCAAATGATCTTATCTGACCAAGGGCTTTAATAATAAATATTTGTATGCAAATCTTCCTTTCATAATTAATTTACCACTTCAGTCCCTAGGAATGGCTTACTGTGGCTTGCTGTGCCTCTGCCTCATTCTGGGCTGTGCTCTAATCTTCACTGTCACTACAAATTGTTGAATGGATGAAAAGGGGAGGGCACAGCAGCGAACAGTGGTTTTTTCCACTCACTCCCTCTGTCTGTGCTGAGCCCTGGGAGACTCAGAGCATAAGTTTTTCTGCTACTCAGCTAGATATCCCTGTAGTGTTAGGCCTAAAGAGGACGTGGACTACAATCCATCTCTTTTAAATAAGAGGTAATCATGTCTTTGCTCCTTTAGAAGGGAGGTCCACCTGCAACATTTGTAGCCACATTTATTAACATTTATAAATCTTGAAACGAAGTCAAGATATAGTTATCTCTTCTTGAAATTTGGCTCTTGAGCAAGGACAGGGCAAAGGCAAAAGAGGTGTTCATCTTCATAAATGACTAAACTTTTTTTGAAAGGAAAGCTTCTATCCAAGAGTATTTTGAGAAAGCACCATTCATCTCAACTACAGGCCTTCCCAGAGTAAAAAGAAGGTCTCAGTCATAAGATTTCTGCTGCATTTTTATTTAGGCAGCAGGCAAGATGTTAAATAGCAGTGGGTAGCAGCAACTAAGATACCAATGCCTCTTGAATTTGGCAAATGCCAGAAGGTGACTAGAACTGAAGTTCTCAAACCACAGTGAGGGTTCAAGAATAAGTTGTGATTACCCTAGGGCACCTCAAGCAAAGGTGGTGTTACTCCAGTCCACATTTCCAGGACTGATGTCAAAGAAGCTGATGTAGATTCTGGAAGGGAAGGCAGGCACCGTTAGCAGCTGAGAGCAGAGTGCTGCAGGCTGGGCAGAGTGCTCCTGCACCAGGACACACAGCCATGCTGCAAATCTCCCCATGGGCTTTATCCTTCTCAGGCCTTACACTCCCTTCCTCCTGCCCTTTTTATTGCCATATCTACTTGCATTCTGGAGTTCCTAGTGATCAAGTTATTGTGTCTGTACCTGGTCTTTTGCACATGATAGCTGTGGGTACATACAGTGCCTGAACCTACATCATTTTAACAAAGGAATTCTGCAGCTTCTGGACATCAGCATTGGAGCGCATGCAATGGCTCCTTTTTTCTCTTTAGCTGGGGAGTTGCTCAGTTGATTTGGCATTTAACCTCCCCAGTCAGCACATTAATAGAGAAGGCCAAAGGACCAGCCTGGGATGAATAGTTTTAACAATCTGTGGAAAGTCATGTCAGAGAAGTTGCTGTATGAGCTCACCTGTCAGATGGCATTTTCAGCTTTTTGCTCTCAAGTCACAAAGCAGTTTGGAGTAGACCTTGTTCTCCTGCTCCCCTACCTTTCCTGTGCTGTAGAGAAAGCATGTAACACAAGGGTCTGTGGAGCCACCAAAGGACATCACCAGATCAGGGGAGATCTGTACTGCTAGATACTGTTGGAAGAAGAAAATTAATGTGTTGTTTTTTTTTTTTTCTGTATTAAGAAAAGTTTTGAAAATTCAGGAAGGCATTTCTATACCAAAACTGCAGTGAAAATAAATGCATGTTTTTCATATATAAGGCTTTCATTTGTTGACATTTTACTGTCTACATTTGCATTCTACTCTGAGATATTCACTGCTGTGTCAAAGGCCAGTACAAAGACTCCGTAGATTTTAGGCTTCTGAGTCCAGGTGCTCCAGGAGTCATTATAGTTCATTATTATTACAGGTCATTCCAGTGACCTGTAATATCTCCAGCTCCTCCTCTGAGCCACCAGGCTCTCCCTGCCTGTGTGGGAAGGTCAGGGTGAGGGGGGTGTGCAATGGTACCACAGCCGCATTGCGTTCCAGAGAGATTTTGCACCTCACTGGCTCCTGCTGCAGTCTTCCCTGCTGAGGTAAATGTGAACTGACACAGCAGAGGCCTAAATCAACATCCCCCTCATTAAACAAAATACAGCCTAATCCTGCTTTTGTTCTTGATATCAGGAAAAACAGAAGAAAGTATCTATGTTAATATTAATGACCAGCCCACGATTTTCCCCGTTGCTAATACACAGTGTCAGATCCACACACTGGGGAATCTAGGGATCAGTTCCTCTGGCATTCATCTGCCTCCTGTGCTGTTCTTACCCACGTTTATTAGCAGCGCATCGTTGGAAGTCAGCAGCAATTAACCCTGGTGGTAAAACAAGCTAGTCTGAGTACCAGGAGTTGTCTGGGTAATTAGTCTTGGCCATCATTTACAGTTTGTTTGGGTGTAAGGTGCATCAGACCACAGCAGTACAGGATAAGCCAAGGAGATCCTGCTGAGGTACCACTTGCTCAGCCCTGTTCTCCCCTGTCTGGACACCATGTGCTCTCAACTTTATGCCAAGTGTAGGTACATCCATGCCTTTAACATCTACCCAGGAAGCAGGTTATCACTATTAAAAGAAAAAATGAGTTGAAGCATTATTTTCTTAGAGTAGTTTGAAAATATTTGGAACGGTTCTTCCAGTAGGAAAAAACCCTATTTGATTAAAAATCTGCATTTTTCTGAAGTGCTACAGTTTCCTGTGTGAGGACAGCTCTGCATTCCAGCCCACCCTAATCCTTTCCTTCTTTCTGTGTTATAACTAAAAGACTCTCCCCTTCCTATTGCCTCCTTTGTCACGAAGAGCTTGTATGCCCTCTTCAGAAAAATATCTTTGTTATTCCCTGTATATTTCTAAGTCTCATTACATATCCCTTCCACACAGCTGCACAAACCTGTTCCAGCTGCATCCCAGCCCTGGCCTCTAGCTTTATATTCAGCTGTTATGCAAGACACACCCCTTGCCCCCCCCCACCAGCAAGTACTTGTTTGCTAGACTGATAAAAATTGTCTTTTTTTAAAGAGGGATAGAACACATCAGTTTTACATAAGAATTTGACGTGTCCCAGTGCATAGAGAAAAGTTTGCTGGGGAGCCCTTTCTGTAGGCACCAAAACTTTATTCTTTCTACAGTTAAAGCATCACTCCCACAGCAAAATAAACATTTTCTGAAAATGGGCTCATGAACAGGCAGAAAGGGTGCCTAAACAAGCAGCTACAGATCCATAGCCAATTTTACTGCTGCTACAACAGCTGAGGTGTAGCTCATGTTCTGAAGTTGACAGCTCTGTAGAGAAGTTTTCTTTTGATTTTTCATATTCAACAATATTCAGTAAGCAACCAATACACTGCCCAGTGACCAGTCAGTACTAAGAAAATAATAGCCTTATAAATTCTTATAAGATCCTCAATACCAACATTTCAAGACTTCACCTCAGTATCATACTGCCATATGTTTTGGCAGGTAAAAGCCCTCCAGTTTGGTAGTGAAACCAGCAGGCAGCTTTTACTCTGGTATTTTGATTACAAATAGCAGAATGGTACACAGATATTTTTGCCAGATGTCCAAGCAAGCTGAATAAATAACTTTTTTACTTCAACTGTAACCACTAGGCTACAGGCATTCTGTTGGCAAATAACAGGCACTTATTCAACAGGACTCAGCAAGGAAGCAGAGGGTGAGGTTTGCTTTTCAGTCTGCCAGATCCTTGAGAGGTATTCACAGGTACCTGTGGACACACCCACTTACATCCAGTGTCTTCACATACACAGATAACTACATGCAATATCATCCTACACAAAGATAGTTTGAATACTCCAGGGTTTTGAGACCTCAATAAAACTAAGTTACAGTGAACAAGTATTTGATATTCTTCTAGAGAGAAGACTGCAAATACTGGTGAGTCATTAGCTATATTGGTTTATCAAGGCTATCACTCAAAACCAGCTAATTGCATAGGCAGAGCTGACTAAAGAAGGAAGATATTTCAGCAAATGGACTTACCTGTGCTGGTTTCCCCAAGGCTTTTGATGATTGTTGGGTGAGCTCCCCTACAAAAGACTCTGGGACTTTATCCTTGCTTATATTTGTGTTAACAATGAATTTAAGCAACTTGAGATCACAAGCAGGTTTCTTTTCAGCTCACCTTGTTCTCACAAGCTGGCTCAGCCCCCTGTGCCAGCAGGCGCCTCAGCAGCCTCTAAATAGCCAGTGATACCTTCAGCAGGTGCACTGAGAGGGGTGGCAGAGTCTCAGGAGAGGTGAGGCTGAATGTGCCATCTGCAGGCTGCTGACACAGACAGCCAAGGCACTGGCCTGGGAGGGAACTCAGCTTTTGCACTCTGGAAACCAAAGCATCCAAAGTGACACCTTATATTGGGATACAGCCCAACCTGAAACCAGTGAAAAAGCAAGTGTTTCAGAGACTGAGTGTAGGTTGTAATGCACATCTTTATGCAAGTCTAGTAATTGTTTTTTTAAAAATTGTATGGATGATTCAATTCTGATGTCTGAAACTCTCTCTGTGGAATGGACCATAACAAAAACCCTCCAGTGACACATGTTGTGCAGACCTTTCCTGAGCCATGACTAAGCCATGACAAAGATGCCTTAAAATCAGGGTCTTGATTTTCCGCTGTGGTGATGGATTCTACATGTTTAGAGAAGGCTTGTTTTCAACTTGCTCCTTTGTTGTGCAAATAGTTCCATAACAGTCATAACTCCTGAGAAATAGGAGATCCACAGGCTTTCTGACATTGGTGGCTTTTATCCAGAGTGGAGGGAGTGTGTGGTGAGGCTGGGATCAGTTCTCACTGCCTCCTGGAAGAGCCTTACATGAGAGAAGCGATGAAGAGGGATAATATGACATTTGGTAGGGGGTGTTCACAGTGAGATGTGTGGAGAAAGCAGGTTGAAAATGGTGATGGGAATAAAATAAATGGTTTGACAATCTCTCCACATTAAAAGTGATGGGTGTCTTTATGCCAGTAGTTTCTGAGTTAAGAGTTTTTATACTCACTCCATTTTCTCCAGACAGCAGAAAAGAGGGAGTGCTTTCTATAGCTTGCTCTAAATGCTTGTATTGAACACTGTAATTGAAGCAAATACTTTTTAATGGTGAAAACTTCTGTATGAATGTGCTGAAGCTGATTGTGTTCAAGGTCAGGTTGACTGAGCCCTGAGCAACCTGATCTAAATGGTTTCATCCCTGCCCATGGCAGGGAGGTGGAACTAGATGATCTTTAAGGTCCTTTCCAACCCAATCCATCCTATGATTGTCTGGTGTATGTTGATTTGAAGTTAGTTCCTTCACTGTAGCACCCTTGCTGTAAAAAGCCAGCAAATAAAAAGTCAGGAGATGGAAATTACTATGTTAGTGTTCATTTACAGCCCACGTTTGTGGACTGTGTTTCCTGTAGGCATTCTGAAAATAATGAAAACCCTAAAAAAACACAGAAATAAAATCAGTTTACAAAAAGCCTTTTCAAGGTAGGTTTCCTAAGCCAAAGCGTTAAAAACAAACCCAAGTGACACCTCCATCTGTAAGGAGAGGAGCTGTAGTTTGTAATATTGGTTCATTTTTCTTCAGTGGTTAGAGGAAGGCAGGTGGCATGATCTAAAGTGGTTAGCTACAAGTCATCCTATACTTGTTATTGGTCACTTGGAAAAACTTAGACTATTTCCATTGAACTTCACAACCTATTTTTACTGCTGGGTACAATAATCAGTCGTTATTCCCAGCTTGCTTACATAACAAGAAAAACATTTCCAAAACAAACTCTTTCTTCTGTGAAAACATCTGATGTAATTCCCAGAAGCTGATGCACCAGGTTGAAAATCAGTTCCTTAGACACCAGAATGCTCTCCAAAGTCTGGTTTATTATATAGCAGCCATTTTACTTCTTTTGCATGCAAGAATATCTGAGTTTAGCAGATCCTTCTCTCTGCCTAGAGTTGCTAGGGTGTTTTCCACTGAGATTTCCATTACATCTCCAGGACTGTTGTGCAGCAATTTCACTTTCAATACTTTTTTCTTTTGCCATGCTGAAACCTATTTTCTGAATTTAAGGTGCTAAGTTTTTAGTCTGTATCTGCTTGGGTCACCCTAAACCATGTATTTAGCTTTTCCTCTGCATGCCTGTCAGCCAAATATTTTAGACTTCTATGTTTCCCCAACCTCATGACTGTTGGTCATTGAGCCTTCTTAATCATTCTTTACCTTGGTTTGTCTTCTTAAAATATTTCACTTGTTCTTTAGTATTTCTGATACTCTGAGCTGTTTGCCAGCAGGTTCCTGCTTATGAGATACTTAGTGTTACTCTAGAATAATGATTTTCATATCTACCTTAAAAAAGAAAAAATAAATGAGACAGAAGAGCTTGCAGTCTGTTTTTAATGTTTCCTTTTTAGTTCTATTGCAACATTATTTCCTGTCTTTTCTAAGAGATGCAAATTTCTTCTCTGAACATTCAGAGCTTGGTGCAAGACAGCTGTTCCTTAGGAAAGTTATTTTCAGTGACAGAGGTTTCTTTTTTCCCAAAGTTCAGCTTGTTGAATTCTGCTTTTATTTCCATGATTGACTTTCCCTTGGTCTCAGGAAGATACAGGTAGATGAAAATTGCTGATAAAGCAAGGATTCCCAAAAAGATAAGGAAGCAGAAGGGTCCAAGGTTATCCTGCAAGCAGAAATGCAGAACAATTTAAGGAAAACAAGAAACTCATTTTTATTTCCCTGCACTTTAGTGCAAGCCTGTGTCTTAGTAGTTCAAAATCAAAGGTGTGTTCAATACACAGTCCAGGACAGGTATCAAACCAGGAATTTCCACTGGCCATGTTTGACCTGAGTCCAGTTGCTGATCCTTGACAAACCTGGGGAATTTCTGAGCAGGATTGATGTTTGGACAGAGCTTTGTGTGTCATTGCAATTTATTGCTATTATTTTTCCCCTTGTCAGCATTTGGAAATAGATTAGCCTGGAAAGAGGGAGAGATCCTCTGTGAGAGTCCTTACAACAATCCTGTGAGAGTCACTTACAACAATTACTGGAAAAATCATCCCAAGTACGAACAGTCCCATCCAGTTGATGCAGCCAACAATCAGAAAGGCTGATGGTCTGTATGACTGGCTGAAGATTTCAACCATCACAGATATGGTGGCTCCAGCTGAAAAAGCAAAGCCAAGCACACACCAGGTTTATTTGTTTCCTTGCTTCTGCTGAAGCTCCTGCCAATGGCAGTGTCAGAGATGATGGGCAGGCAGAATAGGTGACCTGTTGATAGGTGGCCTCTGCTATGAGGGTGAAAGACCTTGATTCCAGAAATGGAGTCCAGCAGTTAATTTAGGTTCCTCTTGTAGGTACTGGAACCCTTTTTCTGGTATCAGTGGGTCTGTGCAGTTCCATATTGCTCCGGCAGTTGTTACTGGTGCAGTGGTTTATAAAACCAGCCTCCCTTTTGGCTCCTGTGGCCACTTCCACCTGGAGCATGTTGGTAGGCATAAGCTTAACTTGTTAAGTTATTGAAGATGCTTACTATAACATCTAGGCAATGCCTAGAATCCTGTTTTTAGCTGATTAATTTAGAAATTATTTTGAAATTTCTATCTCACACTCTCTGGAGAAGATGATACTGTTTTAAATTATTTAGATCACAGACCAGCAATAAAATTTGAGGTGTCTGTATCCTTTTCCTGTGTCCCTCTTGTATATGTCTGCCCTTCCCTCCTTAATTTCCAGAATTTTCTAGCAAGTACTAGCCTGTTCTTCCTCTGCCAGTTGTGCTGCCAGTCAATACAATACCAAATTTCCTGCCAGCATAATCACTGATGTACTCACATGGTCCAATTCCATAGAAGACAACGAACAGAAAGATCAAGATAACACTGAAGTAATGCATCCAGAAAAACCGATGCTAAAAGTGAGAAACCATAACAAACCATTAGACACACGACAAAATCTCAGAGCTCTGTATTTCCTGCCACTGGCTGAAGTTTTTATGCATCTCCTGCCACTGAAGAGCAGGAAGGTGGGCTGGGGAAGTGGCCACAAGGCCTCTTTACCTGCAGTGACAGGGTCATGGTGAGCAGGGCCAGCACAGAACACATCAGTGAGTATCCACCCCAGAGCAGCACCTTCCGCCCAAACCGGTCTATAAGGGTGCTCTGGAAAGCAGAAAACATGGGTCACAAACCCCAGTTCTCAAAGGAAATAATTCCTCCTTTCTCCATGTGTTCTGTGCAGAAAACTTGTCTAAATAATAGCCATAAATCAGTGTCATTTGACAGTATCTTAATTCCTAATGAATTTGATTAGTTTCTTCAAAACAAATTCATTATTAATGAAACTGTGTTTATTAGTCCCTAATAAATCCTAAGCTGTTATTAGACAGTTCCCTCTCTTGCATGCTGGTATGTGTCAAATTGTGCACACAAACGTACACACGTCTAACCCAGAACATCAGAAAATTATTATTTTGCAGAAAAAAAGTGAGTCTGAAGACACACAGTCATGCAAATAATTGGGAAAAAAACTTCTTTGTATCCTGTCTGTGGTTTTGCAGAAGCACGAAAGTGGCTTAGGTTATGCAAAATTTCCCTGAGCCCAGTTACAAGAAAGGAAAAGTGCAGTTGTTGACCACATTAAATTTTCCCTTCAAACTCAAATCTGAAAAGACTTACACACAATATAGAGGATAAGCACTCACACAACCCAACTCCAAGGGACACATATGGGATAAGGTATTCTTCAAACTTGGCTGTGTGGAACACTTCAAAGGAATAGAAGTATATCTGCAAAATGTGAAGAGGAAAAAAAGAAGTGTTGCATTTGAGATACAATTCTAAGCTGGTTTAATAACATTGACTTTGAGGGGTTTGTAATGCTGCCTGGCATTGTCTCTCATCCTGGGGATAAAGAGAGCACTCAACTGCGTTGATTCCACAGAGCTGCAACGTGGTCATGACGGTCATCAAAATGTAAAGCTGCCAGCGCAAAGATCTCTCTTTTATTACTTCAAGCACACGCAAGGTTTTCGTGCTCGCCATTGCACCCTTCTCCTTCATAATGTCATCAATTTCTGCCTGGTGGTCTCCTTCCCCCCAGAGCTTCCTGATGGCTGTAGGGGAGAAAGAGGGAAGTGGATTATCCTACCAGGATAGCTCCATCAGGAGTGGTTGCATTAAAACCTTTAGGCTGCCTGTCCATTGGGGTAGGTGCTGCTGCTGCTGCTGCTGCTGCCATCTGGTTGCTGCAGGGGCAATTTGAAGGATTTTGTCTGGCTGGCTGTCAGTATAGCACAGCTTTCTAATGTGGAGTTTACTTAACTGTAAACAAAGTAAACATTTGAGTACTTTTTGTTTAAGGACAAAGGGCAGCTGCCTGAACCATTTCCTTTAAAGAAACAAAGCAGCACCCACCAAGGTGGGAAATGTTAGACAAGCTGATAAACGTGTGTTCCTTGTCTTCATGGGCCAAATGAGGCTGAGTGAGGCCCAGGTGAATGCAGACATTGCCATGGGTACCTCAGCTGCTGTCTGTGAAGCTGCCTGTGCTCCGTGGCACTGCACTGTGCAGCACAGCTCTGCCCTGCCTCATCTTCTGCAGCGGCTCTCACTGGGACAGAGCAGATGGAGGGAAGTAAGTGAGGAAAGCAGACACTCTACCTTTCCTGCAGGCTTCCTCATTACCCTTCTGTATCAGGAGGTAGGATGGTGAATCAGGGAAAAATGGGAGGGTAACCAGTTGAACCAATGCTGAAAGTCCACTAGATGCTAACAACCATGGCCACAAGGCTTCGCTTCCTAAAATCTCCCTGGAAAGTGTATGTGAAACAAAATCATGCTGAAATAATGGAATGAATGCTGAGGAACTTTTTCTCAGTGATAAGGATTGCTCAGATTCCATTCAAGGGCTCACTGGAGTAAACCCCTGAATTTTAATTTGGCAGATTTCACAAATTTGCCTATTTTTATTTCTGACAATTTATTTTAAAGGAATTAGCTGATATTTTGAAAATCTTTCTTAATATCATTGGAACCCAGTATAATGTCTAGAGAGCTGATGAGACTCATTTGACTGCTTGGCCACAAGAGCAAAACAGCTTGCCAAGACTTTTCATTTAAGTACAAAGAATTTTGAAGGGGAAGTCTCCTAATAGAAAGAGTGTGAAAATAAGAAGAAATCACATTATGAGTAAATAATTTTCTGCCTTCTATATTTAAAACCGTATTTCCCTCAAATACAATCAATATTTTTCTTCTGGCATAAGCTAAGGCATATTTTGGGGAGGAGGTGAGTGTTTCTCTGTCACTGACTAGGGGAGAGGGTAAAGTTATAGAAACATTTCTATTTTTAGTGTAACCTGATAGAAAAATTGGAGAATTTACCGTAGCCCAACAACCTGTCCTGTGAGTTTTCCCAGGGTCAGAAAAACAGCGACAGTGGAGTTGGTAAACCCACGCAGCTTCTTGGGTGAAATCTCTCCTACATACTGAGGATGTATATTGAGAGAAAAACCTTGAACATACAAGAGGATAAATAACAGTTAAAATATTTACAAAAGCTTAACTTTCTGACCATCATCCTCTCTTATATTGTTTCCATTCACTTGGGTATTTAGATTACAATTTCTTGCAAAAGAGATGATATCTTTCACTTTTATTGAGTGCCTGGTGTATTTGCTTTTAGAAATCTTTCTTCAAGGGTGGCTGTAGAGACAACCCCAGGACAGCAGGTCAGGGGCCTGCAGGCCTTGGACATACCTGAACCAAAAACAACCCCAAACAAAAACCCTTGAGAATTTAGTGTGAAATGAGAACTTCTTGTACTGTTGTTGTGACAGGAAGCATGGTACAGCCATTCCTACTGTTTTGAGGAAATAATAATTTTGACTTAAGATAGTCAAAATGGTTCTTTACAATTTTAGGATCTTTTAGATTTGAATTAATACATTTTTTTAGTTAAGAATTTAAACAGTTGGAACCCTTTTGTCATCATTTGAAGGACTGGCCCAGTTTGCCACCAAGATTTTTAAATGGCTGTAAGTCTTCATAACATGTGTGGTTGTTTCCCAGAAATAGTCTGAGTCCATAAGTCCCATTCTAGAAGGGCTTGTACTAAAGACTCTTGGCTAAATGGGTGCTCTGAGATGGCAGACAGAGTTTTTTAGTGGCACATTTCATTTCAAGTCAGAATCACATATTCACCACCCTGGTGTCTCAGGCTCAGTCTTTTGCACTCAGAGGTTTTGCTGTGACACTTGTTAGACAAGAGCCCCCTTGCACACACTAAGGATCACAGACACTCTGAGTTTAGGCTGTGATTCAGCAATTAGGCTACCACGTGTTAAATAAGCCATGGGAGAGGTGATCTTGTTTCCAGTCTTGGAAGACTCTCAGCATGTGGGATGAGGCAGTGTCCCACAAGAAATTTCTTGGGGGCACTTACCTGTTAGGAAAGAACACAATTGCAGGCAGGCTAAGATGGTTTGTTGAGACCCAAATGAGGGGCCCCTGGATCAGTGTGTTGTGGAGCAGATCTTTAAGTGGGTCACACCAAGAAGATATGTTTGCCAATTTCTCTGCAAATGAAATTAGTGGTGTTACACACAAGGCACCGAGAACAGACCAGACTGGTGAGGAATCCTTCCTTTGTCCAGTGGCAAAGATAGTTTGGAACTGCCTTTCAGTAACATGGATTGCCAAGAACAGAGATGTCTCTTAGACATTTGTTTTGGTGCTGATTATATCTTTGTGGAATTACAAGCAATTTTTTTTTCTTCTCTTGGCATTTTCTCTAGAGTAGATCTGAATATTTAATGTAATGTCACCACCACAAATGAGTGTATTTAAATGGAAATCTGACTCTTCTTCGTCACATAAGGATATTTTCCAGGTGTTTGAGTAACTGCATATAATGTGTTACAACACAAGACACACAGCTCCTTTGTTGGAGTTTGTAAAGCTTGGGAGATCTTAGTGAAAGGGGACCTTGAAGAGAATGTGAACCTGTGCCACTACTCCTAGAGGCACTGATCTGGTGATGTGATGATGACTGCAGCCTTACAGAGCATGGTTCCCTGGGGAGGGCAGATAAATAGGACAGAAGGCTGCTTGGAAAAAGTGGATGTGCCAGAAAACCAAATCAATTGTCTTCAACAGGGCTGCTTCAACCAAAGAGAAGGGACTTGCTTGTCCTCCTTGGTATTTCCCTGACTGCTGAGCTGTTACAAGAAGCACTTACTTCCTGTATTTTGTAGTCAGGTAGCCACAGCAGAGGCTTCCCAGGAATCCTCCTATCCCATAAACAGACACAATGAAGGACCACAACAGCATGATTGTGTCAGGATGGAGGGGAGAGCCATGTCGATCTATCCAGGTTTCATTGATAAACTTCCTGATGTGCTGGAAAATAAAGCGAGATTTGCCTGGATGATGGGTGTAAGATCCCTTCACATTTGGCTCTTGTACTTCAGATCAAGACTGTGGTTCCATATTAGATTTATTTTGAGACTTTTTTTTGTAAAACAAGTTCATTGAGGCCACACAGCATATTCTTCAAGTTTGTATCAGCCAGGAAGCTTCCTGGTGAGCATGTTGAGAGCTCATTTTGTGCCTTCCTTTGGGGACTTGTACACTACATGGCAAGAGCTTATTTAATACAGAAAATGCTATCCCGTTCTTTTCAGGAAGAAAAGTTCTGTACACATGTGATGTTGCTGTTAGCCAAAGAAAAGACCTAGACATATCAGCTGAATGCTCAGTAAATTTGGGATTTGGGATTTATGGGAGAACAGAGGGCTCAGCCTCAGAGGATGACTACACTTACCACGGAAGGATAGTTGATGACAGAAATATGGAATCCATATGGGAAACTACCACCAATTCCCAGCACTAAGATCATTTGAAGCAGTCCACGGAACTGAACCTGCAAAGCAAAAATAAAACGCTCCATCAGCTTCTCACTACTCTAGTTTTGTGCAAGGCCAGAGACTTTGTAGCCACACTGGTCTTTCCTCTTTGTCCACTTCAGATCCTTTTGAATTTAAACATTTTTCAGAATCCCTCTAAACTGCTGCCAAAACTCGACCATCAGCCACAGTGCCAGAGCAAACAACATGGGTGTAAGGGTGATAATTCACCACTCTGCTTGTGAGAAGGAAAAGGAGTTTGAAAAGGTGTTCCTGAGAGTCCAACTCTCACTGTGTGCCTGTAACATCTGACAGGTTGGCTGGATAAAGGTGTCAGTCCGTGCATTTTCCCTCTCTGCAATCTACAGCAACCAATGTACACCAAAACATAATGGATGATGATACATATCACTTCTTCCCTTTTTAAGATTATGGAAACTCTTGATGGATTATACTAATTATCTTTTGATGAAGTGAAAAAAGTAATTGATTTAAAAGTTTGTCATGATTTCTTAGCCTTTTGCTGTGCCACTACCATATTCATTATTTTGGGAAGTAATCACAATGCTTAATATTTAGTATTGTTTTCAGTAATTTAGAAGACAAAGTATAGTATCACAGTCAGTGGTGGAAGAGCCAGAGCTGTTGTTAGATTTTCATTTCATTATTTCATTTCATTTCATCCTGTAGCATAGAAAAGACAATGCAACGGGATCTTCATGGCCACAAGCCCCATTGCTCTTTGTGATGTTTAAACACAGAAAGGAAAGATGATCTGTTTAACAAAGGAATTAAAAACCTTTAAAGAACCTGAATCTCTACTATTATGTTATCTTTGGCTTTTGTAAGTCAAAGAGGCCTGAGGAATGTGAGCAGGTACTCACCAGGTTGGAGAAGAAGGCAGCCATGTCCTGTGAATGAGCCAGTGCCTGCTGCTCGCTGCTGGTACCTGCCAAAGAACCAAATGCTCACGTTATACAACAGCAGTGTCAGTGAACCAGTCCCGTGTTAGTGAAGTTAAATTTTACTTCAGAGGTTTTTGAGTTAATTACACATATTCCAGCTGTCGTACAAAGTTTAGGATTGTTGGATTAAATATTTCAACCAGCAGTTATGTCTAGCCCAGGTAAACAGGATGGTGTCCCTTGCAGAACCTGTATGCTTCATGAACTCTGTCTTCTGCTGGGGGACAGGGGACTGAGAAAACTATTTTAACCAGGGTTCCCATCATCATAACCTGCTCAGTTCTCAGTGTAAGTGAGAAACTTAGAGACGGAGCTGTCTGTTGGGAATCTTAGATGGAGCTTGGACAGTGAACTCCAGGACTTTGACATGTAATAGGAAAGAGATGTCCTCTCTCCAGGTGATGGCAACTGGAGCACATCGTAACTTAATCATTACTGGAAGGAATTGAACTACTCCATGGTTTTGAAATGGGGTGAAAACTTAGCAATTCTACAGTGGCACACCAGGCTTGACCAGCCAAGCATTTAGTAGATGATTTTTCTTTGCTGGTAGAGAGAAAGATTCATCATGCAGTTTTGTCTGGCATTTTCACTAGGCAGTACTTCTTGTGTCTGAAGAATAAGGTTGTTTTGAAGCTGTTTTGTAATCTCCACAGCTGGATTGATGTCTGTTTCTGCTGAGAGAAAATTCCCAGGCTCTAACTTCAGTTATTTCACAATTAAGAGGATCTTGAATGTATTCAGTTGGTAAATGGCTTAGCTATCACTTGCCATTTACACTTCAGTTGAAGGAGAGGATGAAGAAATCATGAAGGGCTTAGTTGACACAAGCAGTTATATTTACTAGAAAATATTTCATATGCAAAGCATATTCTTAGATTCCCTAGCTAATGTTTGAAATGTAGTGTGTGACACCACCCAGCCAATTCTCCTGCCACTTTTGGGCCTCATCACGGCCTTGACTTAGCTGTGAATTTGTGCTGAGTGTTCATGGAGGGATTTTTTTTTTTTCAGTTGAGGTCCTCCAGCAGATAAGCTGCTGTTAGAGCACAAATGAGTCCCTTTGATTCTAAGAATTAATTTTCTTTTCTCTAAAGTTATACAGAGTTGAAACAACATGATGTGCATCTGACAAAGGATGAAATTCTGTGTTAGCTGCTGGCATCTGCCTTGCTGAGATGATATTGGGGGACACACAAACAGGCAATAATGCAGATTTCAGCATGAGGCACTCCTCAAATGCAGCTTTTGCACATATTTTCTAATGTTTTACTTTACCAGCTTCTACTCAGTGTATTTATACATATTGGAACTTTTCACTCTTGGACTTTAATTTAGGATTCCTGCTTTGTGTAGTTGAATCTTCCTCTCATAACTCCTCCCCTGTGTAATGTCTTTTGCATTTATGGTGATTAGTGACTGTACTTCTTGTGTGCTGTTACTGCTTAGACTGTTCTGAAGCCCTCTTTATTAGATGTGCAGTTTCATAATAAGAAGTAAGCAGATATTTTACAGACATCCTTCATCAGATTTGTGCTCAGGACAGTAAATCTCACAGCATCAGGTCATTTAGTCATTTATCTTGCAGTTTTACAGTCATGTGTGACACACATATCCAAAGCTGTGCTAAGCCTTCCATAATACAGATCCATATTTTTTGTGGTCAGCTGACAGAAGTTCACAGATACATTTTTAAAGTTTTTATATCTACCTCAATTAGTATTTGAGACATATCTTACCTATCAGCTGATGTTTTTGGAAGATGATGTGCACATAGTGTACCTGAATTACTGTCCCCTTTGTCCCTGTGCCCTGCCATGTATATTTGAACCATCCCTTTTGCTGTCTCATCCCTTGACCACACTGTCCCCATGACACAGCTCTTGCTCCACTGAGCACAGGCCAAGGCTGACCTGTGCTCCACATGGCTGTTCCACTTCATTGTCACAGCAATGTTCCATAGGGCATCTCTGGCTTCCTGGGGAGGGTCCTGTGGGAAAGGCTTTCCTAACTGGCACCTAATGAATAACTGAGATCAGAGAAGTGACTCACTGGAGAGTCTGTCAGCAATGCTACACAGTGCCACTCTGCTCTTGTCTCCAAAGATTTCAGGCATTGTTCCAGTGGAATGGTGTTTCCAGAATGACTGGAGAAGAAGAGAGAAGAGAGAATTCTGTTTTGCAAAAAATTGATATTTTTAATCTATACTGGTAGCTGTCTCCAGATGACTGTTAGTTTTTAATCATATTACATGTATATGGAACACCACAAAATTATTGAGTTTTCTGACTTTAGGACACTTCATGTTTTGTAGATATATAGTTCTATTCATATAGTTATGTTTAATGAGATGCCTGAAATGTCACTCAGTACTAAAGACAGGAATAATGAAGAACTCCAATCATGGAGGGTTATGCACTCCAACAACTTTTTATAGTCAGCTCCCCCTGAGGAGATCATGATGTGGAGAAAGAAATGTTTGTGGAGGCCAGAAGTTTTATTACAAGGCAATCTGCCATTTTTATTATGGTTACCATTTGCAATTAAAAATAAGCAGCAGTTAAGATGAACAATTGAATTATTTTGAATAATCTTACTTCAGTTGAAGTAAATGTGCCAGTCAAAGCAACAGCAGAGATAAAACCATTTATTTTACTGTGCAAGTCTAGAGTTTGACTTTAAATTGCTCCACAGTAGGCCTTAGCTTTGTTAATATTCTTCCTCACAGTATTGCTTTATTTCTACAAGCATGTGAGCCTCTCATTAATAGAGGGAAACACACAGAATATTAAACACCTTCTAAAGAAAAGAAAAGTCCTATGGGCCTGAATATTTAAAAAAAAAAGTTTCTGGTTCAATCAGTTCCAGTCTGAGGTGGTTCTTCTGGGGTAAACAAGTTCCAGGTAGCTAAAAGTCACAGGAGGAAAGTAGCAGTTCAGTTGCTGTGGGATTCACAGCCCTTGAGATATCTGTGGGCATTCTGCTCCTGGAGGAGGATCTGCAGGCTTGGGATGACAGCAGTGATGGGCAGGATAGCACAGAGTATCTAAAATGCCTTGGGGTTTATGGTGGCTGGATTCTATCCATCAGTCCTTTTAGCTCTGTTGCTGCTGAAAGGCAATCTGAAATGGTTAAAGTCTGTCAAGCTAGACTCTACACAAGGACAACATGGCACTGTGCATGGGAACCTGGCAAGGTTTGGTTATTCAGTTGAATCTAGAGAAACAAAGAATTTATCTCCTATTCCACTGAATTTTTTCTTTAATCTGTTATGGATTGAACGCTAGCCAGAGAGAGCAAGCCAAGAACTTCACTGTTCCCATTTCAGCACTGTAAAAACATACTCAGAAATCAGAGAGAGAGAGGATCACAGGTCTTTCCTTTCTCTGTGGTCAGCAGAGTGTTTATAAATTCTACATGTGTAGTTTCAGTGTGTATTAGTTGCTCTGTTAAGAAGAGATTTACACTCAGTACGTTAAGCCAAAATGCTCCTGATTCACACAAGTGTGTCCTGTTAATATCAGCCCTTATCCCTTTTCAGAGCTGCCCAGAGTGGAGTGCTTGAGAAAGAAGCTGGTTTGGGAAAATAGGAATCTTGTAAGTGACAGACAGGAAAGCTGACAGTCCATTTGGAACAACTTGTTAGTCAGAAAATGGCAAATGTCTTTTTTTACCTATTTTTTTACAAAAACCTGATTCCCCCTTAGAGCTGGTCAAAGCCTGGTGCAGAAGGTATAATCCTCCGTGACATGATTTGGAGTTTCTGGAATATGCTTGTTTTTAAAGTTTAGCTTATTGAATTCTTCTGTGATTTCCATGATTGACTTCCCTTTTGTTTCTGGAAGGAACAGGTGGATAATTATTCCTGAAGTGAAAAGTACCACCATAAAGATGAGAAAGCAGAAGTGCTTGAGTCTTTCCTGCAGGGAAAAACAAAGTGAGAAAGAGAGCAAGATGAGCATATCTTTGCTTTAGTCACCTTCTTGGCATATTTTTTATATTTGGGTCCCATGATGCCTTAAGCTTTATATTTTCTGTTTTTCAGCTCCTGTACTGCATTAGTGTAGAACTCTGAGCTCTGTACAGAATTTTCAGCTCCTGTACTGCATTAGTGTAGAACTCTGAGCTCTGTACAGAATGCTCGTCAGCTCACACTGAACAATCCTTCCAGGCCTGAGAACCAAGGCCACCATCTGCCTCAGGCCTGAAACCACTCCAAGGCATCACCCAAAATATTTTGAATTTGAAAAGGAATTCTTTCTTTTTTGACCTTTGACAAATATTTCAGACTGAATGAGTATCTTGGGCAAATCAGGGCCCAAGGAGAGCAGGTGCCAAGAGCACTGACACAGCTCTGTCACCTCTGCTGCCCTGGTTGAGGCACTCACCACGATGAATGGGAAGGAGGTGCCAATCACAAACACCCCCAGCCAGTTCATAACAGCACTGATCACCAAGGCAGGAGGTCTGCAGGACAGCTTGAAAATTTCAACCCTGGTGGAAACCGTGGCACCACCTGAAAGGAAAGAAGAACAAGAATTTTTTCAGCATTTGGATTGAGTGTTCCTGTTACACAGTCAGCTGATAGATGCTCCTGTAAGGGACTGGCAGGAGTACCTGAATTGTGCAGTGGCACTGAGCATCTTGCTCTTTTTTACAAAAGAAAATATTTGTGGTATCTAATAAACTGCTAGACATCAGTTTATTAAAGTGGTAAAATACTCAAATAAATATTTGGGGAGATCCAAAAATTAAGTAGTTGACACTTGAGAAAGCCTGACATCCCCTCATGAAAGAAGATGTGTGAGGAAGGAATGACAATTATTAATGTTGAAATGCATTTCCAGTGTGATTCTGCTAGATTGGCAATGAGTGATCTTCCCAGATTTACTCCCTGGGCATTTCAGTTGTGTTTTGAAGTCACAGGATTTCAACTGTTTTGAGTTAGGAAAATAATTCAACCCTGCCATATGGGAAGGCAAATATTAAAAAAATTATTAGCCTTTATAAAATAAAATTTAAT